TGCCTAGTAGTAAAATAATAAAAAGAAGTAGCACTATATGAAGAATTACATTTTCAAACTAAAAGCTCATTTTGGGTACACATATGTGGCTACAATCATCAGATAATGAAAAACAGGAAACATAGGCCTGATAAAAGTAAAAATAAAAAAACTAAATAAGATGGGCTTTCTTTGGAGGACATCCTATCAAAACTCAACAAATCCAATTCTATATACTCAGAAAAATTAACGACTACATAAACTATTATTGACAGGCTGTACAAAATTTACCAGAGGATCGAAAATGAGTAGTAGAACTAGTGGGAATCTTTGAGTTTCTGCCAACAAAGTGGTGTGTTGTATGTGTTTAGAGTTGGTGCTAATGTTCAGAAGATACAAAACATTTTGAACATTGCAAGGTAAGAATTTATTATTATTATTATTATTTTTAACCAAGCCGTACAGGACTTTGAAGCAACTTTAAAAAATGGCAAATATCTATCTGGACATCTGAAGGACATGGTGTTTTGGATTTTACTTTTGGTATTTAGAGTAAAAACTGATTTTATATCATGAAAAAACATTACTACTTTCCTCTAAAAGGTTAAACGTGGTCATAAATCAGAATGGCAAAAAAATTTAATTAAAACATTTGTATACCTTACTGTACAGTCAAACAGAAAATAAGAAATTCTTTGGAAATAATGGACTCTATATAAGCTGCCCCTCATAACTCCACAAGGATAAGTATGTTGGATAATGGATGGATATATCTTAAGGAAAAATATTAACGGTAAAGTTTAAAAGAAAAAAAATAAGAGTTTGAACTTTTAAAATAATGAAGTGGCTTGATATTTTTACATACTTTTACTTCTACCTATTATGAGAAAAAAAAAACATTAAAGTTTCAGCCCTAGAATAAGAAAAAGCAATGACAGAACTTTTAATCCAAAAAGTTTACCAAAGAAGAAAAAAAAAAAAACTTTTGTCAAACTGTTTGAACCAATCAGAAGATCCTGGAGGACACTATTCTTTACCATTTCTTCCTTTTTTTATTTTTTTTACCTGCAATAATGACTAATGCTTCAGCTGAATCAGGTGATATAAACACGCAGCGATGTGTGACAGCGTGAAATGACACCTGGTGCTCAGAGTGGGACCAGGCTGAAAGGTCTGACTTCCTTTAGCCAACAGAAAAAAATAATCAATAGAGCCTGGATGGTTGGGCTTTCAGCTCCACTTACAGCAGGAAGCACAGACTTGTGTCCATCAGTTCACCGGAGAAGCATCTCTGCAGGAGAGAGCTGCATCGAATTAGCAGAATGTTTACAATTCCCTCTAGAGGATTTGAGCTTCAAAAGAGCATCAGCGATGATGACATCAGATGTATCCGCTGTGCATGATTAAGTGGAGGGAAGTAAGAAGAAAAAAAAAAGATGTTGGATGGAGGAGTTTTTCTAGCACCACCGTCAGGTAACATTCCCACCGCGACTCTGTCTGCCTTGTTAGAGAGGAAACCGAGGAGTGCAGCACATTTCAGGGCTGACATAAAACCTCTGTGACATGAACCCACAGCATTTTTACCCACTGATGCGAGCTGGAAGGGTTGCAGCGGGAGTAATGTGCAGACTGTGGCAGGGGGGCATATCTACGATTTTTATTATAAAAACACACCGAGAAAAACCCAAATGGAGCTGTCGCCTCCACACTCTTCATCCTAATGGACTCAAAATGAAGCTGAATATGAAGAGTCTCATATGAAACGAGCATCTTACAGCCCCAGCGGAGGCAGTTTTCTCTCAGGAGGAAGCCGCGATAAGGCTGCATTTTACGGCATTTTACACTTGCAGCTTGCAGCTTTGTCTTACCAATGACTCAAGGAGAAAGTATGAATAGTTTCACCTCTTCTGACTCTGTTTTACTGATGTAGGTGAACTTCTAATGCATCTGATTTGAAAAGACACACAAATAATCAAACCCAGGAGAAGAAAAAAGTGAGAAAGTCATTGCTGGTGTAAAACAGAAATCTGTGAGTAAGATGGCTACCAAATAGCTACAACCATACTACACACTAGAATTATTTTTTTTAAAAAACCCTGCAATATTCAGGTCTGGCAAGAAATACCAGCATGAAAATGACTGCATTATTCACCGGGTCAGAAAGTGTTTTTTTCAGAAGAAAATCTATATTTCTAGATTTGTAGGTCATGTTTAATAAATCCTTCTGAAAAAGTTCAAGTTTTACACTTTTCCATGTTATTTTGAACCAAAGACATGCATTTTGTCTAATCTTAGCTTTGATGCATGTATTTTTAACATCTAAAAACAAAGCTTACAGTACAGCAATAACAGTAAAAGGCCTTGAATCATCTTTTATCTGAGGCTATGAGCTCATTCAAAAAATAACCGGTTGTATTTCATAATTCCAAATGAAATTCTCCCATTGCTGTGACTTATTTTCTTGTATGACTGCTCCGACCGGATTTTGAGATGCCAGAGATGTGACTCATGGATTACACATCGACACCTGATGCCTGCATCAGTCTACCAACCAGTTGTTACCTGGACAGAGAAAATGAACAAGTGTGAGATTGTTCTGAGTTTGGGTTTTCTTGTTCTCTCTACCTGAACCGTAGAAGAAAGCAAACGTGCCATGACATCTCTAAAGTCTGAAGCGTGGACAGCTTCTTTTTTGCTCCTGAGCGGGAAAAGAACAGGGTGTGTGTGCGTGTGTATGTGTGTGTGAGTGCTTTCATCTGACAGACTAAACCCATTTCCACTCTGCCAGCTCCCAGTTTAATGACGCCCATTAACAGCAAGGCTCCCTCAGATCTCCAATTTTTACGGAGAAATGCGCATAGCAGACTCCGCTCGACCTCCCATCTCTTCCTCCTCCATTCAGACTAATCCTCTTTTGCCTCGACCCCGCTCGCAGGGCCCCGGGAATCAGCACGTATCTGTTTAAGTGGTTGGAGCGGGACAGACGCGCCTCTAAATTAGAGGAGGCAGCCAGGAATCCCAGAGCTTGGGATCCCAACCTCAAACCCAGCCCCACGACACGACGGCGGCGGCAGCAGCTTCGGGAGGAGCTCGGGTGATGGCAGGGTCGCCATCCAAACCAGCTGCAAACCTCACGAGAGTATCTTCACATCCACTATGGATCCCAAAGATTAAATATCAGTTTGACGCGGCAGAGATGGGATATATAACGCAAAGATTATGGTTTGTCTGAACCTCTGAGGTTTCTGTGGAGCTTCTGTTTCCACAGATTGCTGAAACCTGCTTGAGAAGAGCATTTTCACAAAAAAAACAAACAAAAAACACCCTAAAGAAGTTCCACCAAGACACTTAGTGCCATGTGTTCAAACAGAAAAGTGTAAAATGTTTTTTTTTCTCTCTTTTCTCTAAGAAGTGAAAATTATGTGAAATCACAACATCAATCTATGTTTACAATTGCAAATTGTAACTTCGCAATGGTAAAATCCTGTTTTGATGCAACTTCTTGCACACTGTTACATTTAAAATGCGCTGCATTCATTCACTGCATGACTTAATCCCTACGCCTGAGTCTCCAGTGACCGAGACACTGACGTTTACGGTGAGAGAAAAGATGATAAGGTACAAAAATGTGGATTTATCTCAGCCGGTGTCAAAACAATATCATAATGAAATGTTTTCCTAATAGTTTTCTTCTTTAATTTCTTTCGGGAGGGCCATAGAGACCATTCTAATGAATCCCAAACAAGATTCTCACCCCTTCAACTGCTTCATGCTGGATTCACACCGCTCAGATTTTGAAAATCAGCACTTGGTGCACATATTTCTGCCGAACCAGCTCTGTCCCTGGGCTTGGAGCTGAATGCTTGGATGTTTTAGGGTTTCAAGAGGAACATTGAAAGCCTGTGTGGGGAGAGGTTCAAATGAAAAGGAAGAGATGAAGGAGGAAACAGGGTCAAAGGCCATGCATGGGAAGGCATAACATCCCCGTGAAGGGTTGGCCACCTGTAAAAATTCAAAGGCGCCACAGCTGACCGCAGAGCTCGCTGCTCCTGTTCTGTGTGTGCCAAGCAGATGCAGTTTGCATGTAAATACCCGACTCCCCCTCCCTCGTTCCCTTCTCTCTTTCTCTCTCTATCAGCAGGACATACGCCCACCCTCTTTCTTTCTCTCCCTCCGCCACAGCAGAGGGAAAAGGCGGAGGAGACTGGAAACCGGAGGCACCGGATGGACCAGATTCCCTGCAGATGACACATAGCGGATGTTTCATTCCTTCTCGTCCACCTTTCGAGTGAAACTCTCTGCCTCTCTGTGCAGAGCAGGGTGGTAAATTTGATGCCACAGGTGCTCTTGGGGGGCAGGAGGGGGGCTCAGGTGCACAGAGATGTGCGCTTTTGTTGGGAGTTTATGAGCACCTCTGGCTGAATGGACTTCTTAGTGGCATTAAAAAACTCCCCTACCTCCCCCATAAAGCTAAATAGACCCAAATGTATGATTATAACTATGTCTCCCGCATTTAGACAAAAAAGAAGAAGAAAACAAAGACTCCGCAGCTCTTCCCTTTGGGAGCACTGTTACAGTTTCCCCCAGTTTGAGAAATGTTAAAGCTTGAGGAAGCTGTGTTTTATTACTGACAGACGAGGAGGTAATGCTGAGGACGGAGGGGATCGATACAGATCAATAAGCTCTGTAGTGTAACACACGTAAAAAAACCCATCAAAGGAGATTACATGAAGAACATAGAAGGTAGGATGGCTTTCTCTCTCTCTCTCTCTTTCATTTTTTACATCAACAAGTGTTTTTTTTTTTTTTTTTTTACAAAAAACAGATTCGTCTCCTGCAGCGTGTGTTCTTTAATTAAGGCACAAGTGTGCATTCATGCGAAATGGAATATAAAGTGAGTGCGCCCGGCAAATGATGGTGCGTATCGCGTCCCGGCTGCACTAGTTTGATTCAAAGAGGGTTTTTTTTTTTTTTTACCCACGTACAGGTGAAATCATGAGACTGTGCGGAGAAGTTCCTACCTGGATCGAGTTAAAGACCCAGGTCTGGGCGCTCCACCGCCGGCTACAGGCTCTCGCTCCTCCGCGGTATCCAGACGCAGACGCTCCAGGACAAAAATTGTTTTATCATAAAGAATCCACAAGGTTGTAGTAAAAAAGAAAAAAAAAAAAGAAAAGAAAATAAACAAACGAAAAAAAAAAAAGATTCAGAGGCGAATCAAACAATCCAGTCACGGCTGTAGTTATTCCTCCAGTTTCTCTCAGTTTCTGTCAGTCGTGACCAGCGCTCTCCGGAGGCACGGCCGGACTCACTGACGGACCCCTGAAAGCGTCACCGGCGGCCGGATGGAAGCAGCTGCATCCTCCGCTGGTGGCTCGCTCTCTGCGGGATGAAGAGGGAGTTAGGGTGGAGGTGCTGAATGTGGACGAAGCACCGGGACGTGGAAAAAAAAAAAAAAAAAACAATAAAAAATATAAAAAAATCTTACCCTTTTTTCTCCCTATACACTTTCTAAAAAAAAAAAAAAAGTGTCAAAAGAGTTGAAGCTGCTGGTAACGCAGGATTGCTCCGGTCCCCTCTTGGTCCAGTTTCGGTCCTCGCGCGGTCCGGCACGGAGCGGGTCGCGCGGCTGCACCGTGAGTGATGAGAAAGTGGAGTGAATCCAAACCAGTGCGCTCGCGCTTCACTCCCTCTCCGTCTCTCTCTCCCCCTCCCTCACCCTTACACTCATTATACACTCCCCCATCGGGGAGGAGGAGGAGGCGGAGCGAGCATCCTCTTCATCAACTTCACGGATTTCCTAACATTTCCCCTGCTTTTTTTTTTTTGTTTGTTTATTTGTTTGTTTGTTTTTTCCCTCACTTTTTTTCCACACTTTTATAACGAGCTGTATTATAATAAACTTTGAGGAATCGACGCGTCGATGCCGAACACGCGCGCTTACGAGCAGAGCGTTCCGGACTGTCACCTGTCCTGCAGCCGCTCTGCCTGCATCTCTGTCCGGCTGCGGAGAGCGAGGAGAACCGCCGTCTTCTGCGCTCTGAGCGCCACCTAAAGGCGGCAAGTGGCAGCAGCTTCGGCTCTCTTACTCCCCCTCTCCTGCCTTTCTCCCTAAGCTGCCGCGGAGCGCAGGCGAAAGAGAGAGAAAGTGCGCGAGCCTGAGTGTAAAACGCATAATCTGGATATGCTGATGGCCGCGGCCGCCGCACGAACCCCGCGCAGCAAGCGGCGCAAAAGAGGCTGTGCACCAAAGCAGCTTTTCTGTGCCGTGATATCACAAACAACACATATGGATTATGATTTTTTTTTCATATGGGGGGCCTCGGTTTCAGCGCATCTGCTTACAGACTTAATCCAAATGGAGCTTTGAGCTCGGGAAAAAAGGGGGAAAAACTCATTCTTTAGAATTTATTCTACCTTTATGGTCTCTCTGACAAGTGTCTGGCTAGAATCCCTGGAGCCCACAGAACTATAAACCAAAGCACTAGAGTTCATAAAATACTTCAGAAATATGAACTGAATCAAAATGCAAAAGTCATACATTATATTGATGTGGAAAAACAGCTTCAGCGCCCTCACAGAGCTTAAGAGTTTTGTTACACTTAAAAAGCAATTCTTAAAACAATGATTTCATTTATTAAGGGATAAATAGATATCCAAAGGATATTTTGTATTATATATTTAAAAAGTAATTACTCAACAATCCTATTAAGATGTTATGCAGCCCTTGGCAGGAGAAGGAACCATCAAACATTTGCGATAACTGGCAACGAGTCTTTCACATTGTTGTGAAGGAATTTTGGCCCACCATTCTCTGCAGATTTGATTTAATTAAGCCACGTTGTTTTGTTTTTTTTTCTTTTTTATTTGTTTATTTATTTATTAGCTCAAGCGAGCTGAGGCCATGCCACAGCATTTCAACAGGATTTAGGACCTGTCATTCACCAGACCTCTTCAAAAGGTTAATTTTTCCCATTTGGGAGTCATGGCAGGTCAGAGGGGGTCATTGTTTATTTGTATGAGCCGCTGAGATGTGGGTTTTCTGGTGGGCTTTGGATCGTCGTCCTGCTTCATGACCAAAACACCCCAAAATACAGCTGGTATGTTTCATGCCAGCTGTAGAAGGAAAAGCCGAGGCAAGTAAGGTCAAGATTACTTTCTTCTGGTTCTAGAGTTGTGTCGCATAAATAATGTGGCAACAGTTCATGTCTTGTATGTTGTTGTGTGTGAGGACTATCTGAGCTCGTAGTGTGGCTGTGATCAAGATTGTGATCATCTCTGTTTGTGTTTGTTTCATCGACAACACTTTTTCCATCCAATCACCTTTCCTGCTCAGTGTATCTTGCTATCTGTGAATCAAGATCAGGGGGCTGTTCAAATACTTTCTACTGGATATTAAGTGCAAGAGAAGTTTTGTCCTAAAATAGAACTTCTTGAAATTTCATCAATGAGCATTTAATGTTTCCAACTAAACTCATTAATATCAGTTATTTTGCTTGCCTGAAGTACTTTTTAAACAACCAGTGTTTAAAGAAACAACATTTTACTGCTGGACAGCTGTCTGGCAAGAGCTTATGACTGTGTAGATCATAGCATATCTTATCAAAATCAAATTTTTTTTTAGTCCTTTTATAAAATGTTCCACTTTACTTTTAAATAAACTGAATTATGGGTTTCCATTAACTCTAAGCCATACTCATAAAATAAAATAATCAGAAATAAGCACATTTGTTTGAAGAACACCCTTTTCCATCTTGTTTGTAGTTAAATAGCATATAGTTACATTTTGAAATATGTCTTTCAAACTCCAAAAGCAAACATAGCTTTATATAAACACCCCAACATGCATCAAATACATAATAAAATGTTATAAAATAACAGTAGACATGAAAGAAATCCAGAGGTATAAAAACAAAACAAAACACACAATCACAAATACTTCAACGGGTAAGATGTTTATAAATAATCAATAACTGTGAAACTTTGTAAACAAATGACAAAAAATAACCACTAAAAGTAAGTCTGTCTTGGACTGTTGAGAGCTTAGTCCTTTATTTTCCTTTATTTGAATGCAGACACCCACTCTTCTCTCACTGCAGCCCCAAAACACACACAAGGTGCTTTTGACTGACAATGAGGTTCTACAGCTGTTATATTATTTCATGTTTTTTTTTTTTTTATTTTTTTTTTTTCAATCTGTCTAGGTTTTTTTAAGTTTTGGTTTTTAAAATATTATTTTCTGTTGCATGTTTGTGTATTCTGTAATGTTTTTTTTTTTTTTAATCTGTTTCCATCCTTTTTCCCTCAGGGTTACATTATTTAAACAGTTCTTTTCTATTTTTTTGGTAATGCTTTCAAATAACTCCGTCTCTGTCCTTTATGTTTTCATACCTCGTTTTTTAATCTATAAAAGTAATGTAACATTTTTTTGTGATGCACTATTCATTCCCATGTTCACCTAAACGACACTCAGATATACCCATTGTTACACAAGACAGTTTTCAGAATTGCAAAATAAAGATCTACTCTGAACAGAAAAAAACACATACTTACTTACTCTGCTTTAAATTAAAAAAAATACTTTTGAAAAAAAAATTATATATATGAATCAAACTCTTGACTATTGGATATGGCAGATGGTGTGACTCAATAAATACAAATGCTTAGTATTGTATCTATCAATAATCAATCCATAGTGTAATTTCTCATTGAGCATTATTTGCATTCTTTAAAGAAAGGAATGTTAATCACAAAAAAACATATTTATTCTCTGAATTACAATATTGGCCCATAAAATGTAAACTAAAAACATATATTGAAGATATTTACCTGTTAAACCAGTGCTTTACCTATTAATAGTCACATTACCTCAACATTTGCATTTTTGGACTGTGGGTGGAAGGCAGGGCATTAAGAGAGAACTTAATAATCGATAATAATTCATCGATTATTATTGACTGATACCAGATGTTTATATTCAGACACCTTTTTTCTTACTGTTAGAAGTTAAATCAGACTGAAATCATCTAAGTTCAGCTCAGATTTACCTTAAGGATTTCTTTTTGCGAGATAGCACATTAACAAGAGAAAGAACATAGAGATTTATGAATGTCTTAATAATCAAGTTGACATATGTGTTGTCAATGTTTGGTAGCAGTGGATTTGACCTGTGAAACTTGGATCTAACCCAGGGGTGAGCAATCCTGGTCCTCGAGGGCCGGTGTCCTGCAACTCTTTTAGATATCTCCCCGGTCCAACACACTTGAATCCAACAGCTGAATCACCTCCTACTGCAGTCAAGTTCTCCTGAGTCCTGCTAATGATCTCATCATTTGACTCAGGTGTGTTGAAGTGGAGATGCATCTAAAAGTTGCAGGAGACCGGCCCTCCTGGCCTGGAGTTGCCCACCCCTGATCTAACCTCATGTTTTTTTCTCAAACAAGGTTCCCGCAATAGTTTGCTGGAGTTCTGGTCCAACTGATGGATCATAGTGCATCAGTTCTGTATGCCGCCTCACTCACACATAGATTTTCAAATCTGCCCACAACTTCTCCATAGAGCTGCGATCAGGACTTTATGATGGACACGTCAGGCTTACAGGCCTGGGAATACCAGCCTTTATTAGAAACATTATGAAACAGATCCCTGTCTTTCTCTGATTATTGTGGCATTTAGCAAATGGAAATAATTTAGGTAATTCTAACCTAAGACGAGGGAAGTTTGGTCTGATTTCACTTCAGACTCAGAAAGGTGGTCCACCCAGGGCGACAAAGAGGCTAGGACCACCTCTGTGCACAAACCAAAAAATCTTCAAGAACGAGATTTCTTTAGGTAGAAACATTCTGAGTCTATTCACTCATCAAACTACTGCTCATTTCTGCACAATCGTCAGCCAGCATAAAGATATGAAGTATACCAATCCTATTATTTATTTTGTTTTAGAGAAGAGTCTCAACATGATGTCACAGGCTGAAAATCAAGTAGATTCAGATTTTCAGTCTACTTGAAAATCTGCGTGTGGTCATTTGGGAGAGAAAACAAACAAGAGGAAGATTAATTTAAGGAACAGTATTAAAAATATGCTGATATGCATGTAAATACATCGTTTCCTATAGTTGTTTGCCTGGGGTGGCATTCATGTAAGAGCTGTCACTGGTTTTGTAACAGCTTCAGGGTCACAAACATTGTGACCACAGTTTTTATGAACTGTGGATTATTGGCAATCTAAGGATTATCATCTGAGGGCTATATTATTTCATCTCAGTCTAAATGTATGATGGAGGCCTTTTACCCCAGTCTTGTTAAGAGTGTGATATGTATCAACTCTTTGAGTTTCAATCATGCTACAAACTCTCAAAATTATAAACACAATGTCACTGCAATTCTAGATGTAAACACTTAAACATCAACAATTTTGAATTGCACCAAAATCGGATGATTATATGTCAGAACTTGTATTCCTCTCAATACCTCTTCATTAATTTCTCCAATCTTAAGTGATCCAAAAAGATGAGTTATTAATGAAGCTGCAACTAAAACATCAACATGCAACATGCCTGGAATCAGAAGCAACAAAGCCACAGTGAAACATATAACAGAAAACGCACAACCACAAATATTCTAAACCATTGTGTGGCACAGACACCATCATCTGTGTTGGTCCCCTTTGGTCTACTTCCTCAGTTTGTTTTCTCTCCTAAACTTCAGGCAT